ACAGAGACCCCACGGAGGGGGGTGCTTTGGGGACAGGGTCCTCTCCCCAACCTTCCCCAGCTCCTGTCTCAGCTGCACCCCCAGGGAAGGAAGCTCCTGGGCGCAGCCCCCTTCCGCAGAGCCCCCACCCAAGGGAGGCCCAGCCAGCAGAGGCAGCTCCGCGCTGTCCAGCAGGGCCCCCGGGGGGCGGGTCAGGGGAGCTCTCAGGCCTGGGTTTTGTGGGGGCAACCATCCCGGGGTGGGCAGGCTCCGTTTGGATGCGGGCGGACGGAAGGGCCTAGGTCTACAGGCCCTTAATGCTGGAGCAGAACTGGGCGCCGGCGGGGGCTGGGGGGCAGCCACGAGCCTCCAGGCCCCCCACCCCGTCTGCCGTGTCCCGCAAGCTCAGCCCAGGTGTGCGTGTGGAGACACGCGCCCCATGCTCTCTGGTCTCGGCCCTGTGCTGTGACCCCACGCGCGTGTGCCCCGTGCTCACACTCCCAGGCGCCCGCGCCAGCACGACGGCAGGTGCGCTCCCCAGGTCACGCACCCGGGGCACGGCAAGGCCGTGGGTGGCGGCGGGAGGCGAGAAAGAGCCCGAGCACCCCATGTTCCTTGCACCTGCAGAACTTCCCCTCCACCCCACTCCCCAACTCCAGAGCCGCGCTGTCCGGGCACGAGCCTTGCCCAGGCGGGGGGCTGCAGGGCGGCCGGGCGGGACCCAGGAGCAGGAGCGCCGAGGCCCGGTGGGCGCGGCTGGGGACGGCTCTTCTGAGGTGACCTCCTTGCAGGCCGGGGCACGTCCGGGTCCCGGGTGAAGCAGGGCTCGGCAGGCCTTGGCGGGCGAAGGCCGGGCTCTGCGGGGTGACATAGGCTTCTGCGTAAGCAGCGAGGCTCAGCGTTTCCCCGGAGGCACCCCGGGTCCTGCCCAAGTCTGGGCCTGCCGACCCCACCTGGGAACGCAGGCTCCCAGCTGCTCTAGGGGTCGAGGGGAGCCGCAGCCCGTCCCACTCCACCCTCCCAGAGCCCCAGTGTGTGGCCACCGCCTGCGGCCTGCTCAGGTCCCAGGCCTGCCGGCCACGAGCCACCACCTTGACAGCGAGCCCAGCCCGCGGGGGCGGCAGGGGAGAAGCTGGCGTGTCTGGGCCACGGCAGTGGCGGGAATCCCTTGAGGGGCCTTAGAGAAGTGTGGACGAGGCGGGGTGGGGCAGCTCTCTGGTGGCGCCCTGCTGGCATCTGTGGGCGCTGAGCTCTGGCCTGCGCCCAGCCTGAAAAACAAGCACTCAGGCCCCTGGTCTTGGCCCCTGGGACTCGGGTGCAAAGATGCCCTTTGCCCGGCCTCGTTCCCTCCGGCCCCGCAAACCCACGGCCTCTGTTCTTTTCTCCAACTTCGTCAGCAGCACCCGAGTGTGCGTCACTCTCCTGATGCCTGTGCCCCCAAATCGGTGCCGCCCTCCCCTGGTGCCCAACCCTCAGCCCCGGGCGTCTCCCGCCCCTCCGAGGGGGTAACACAGCAGCTGCCCATCCCAGGAGCTGCCCCTGCCCTCGGGAGCAGACGATGGTGGCACCGACCCCTCTGGGGCTGCAGGGGAGAGGCTGTGCCCGTGACTGGCAGGGGTCTGGGAGGAGGGGGCAGGGTGGGGACCATCCCTGCTGGGCACTGCTGCCACCACTTCCCTTAGGCCAGTACAAAGCAGGCCCTGTGAAGCCATCAGGCTGGCACATGGCAGACTCGTTGGCCTCTGTCACTCACGGGGCACGGGGGAGGAATAGCTCACGTCAGGCGGCCCCCTGCCTGGGCAGGGGCCTTTGTTCATTCACCCCACTTCCTGGGTGCCTGTGGGCAGGGTGGGGCGGCCGCCTGAGCCCAGCCCCTCCTTCCAGGCAGCCCAGGCCAGCCGGCACCAGTAGTGCCCACCTAGGATGTCAGGGGCTGAGGGGCATGGAGCTGGAGACTGAACAGGTGGGTGGGATCTTGAAGGGTGAGTAGGAGTTTGCAGGCGGAGGTACCCGGACAAAGCACTGAGGTGTGGGAGGGCGGGTGTGAGTCCTGGGGGACCGATGTGCAGAGGGAGTCGAGGGGACTTGTCTACTCTGCTGGGGAGCTGGGCCCGAGGAGCCGCAGAGGCGCTCACACGGGCGCGCGGCCCTGGCTGCAGGAGAGAGGCGACGGGTGGGGCGTAGGCAAAGGGACTGACTGAAGACCTCACCCCCACCTGGAGTAGAGGCAATGTGGGCCCCGCGCCTGCCTTCTGATCCTGCTTCCACTGCCCGCTCCAAACTGGGTGGCAGGACGCCCCCTCTCTGCCGCTCAGCCTCTGGGCTCGGCTGGGGCCCTCCTGACGCCACCCCGGAGTCCACAGAGGGGAGAGGACCCTGCTGACCCCGGGCGGGCGGCAACCCGGGAAATCTGCCCTGCCTCCACCTTCCGGCAGGGCCTGAGCGCTGCGAGCCCTCACCTGGCGGGGGAGCTGTCCCCCAGGGCCGATGCTGGGGCGAGGATGTGTAGGGGCTTCGGCGCTGCCCTGTCTCCGGGAAGCCCCCTGCCCCACAGGCCCCATAAATGCCTCCGACGCCTCGGCCTGGACTCCATCTCTCTGTGCGCATCTCGGGGGCCCCTGTCGGCCCGGCTCTCCCCCTCCGTCCCCCTCTACCTGCCCGGGGTGGGGGCGTGGGGGGTGGCAGAGGGCTCAGCTTCCTCCGCTTTTGTCCCCACTGCAAGGGCGCGTCTTCGCTGCGTTTCTGGGCTTGGTGTCTGTGCCGGGGTGTCTTGGAGAGCCCCGTGGTCACTGGCCAGCGCCTCTGGGGGTCCTCTCCGCCCTGTCCACGGGGCCGGGCATGGCGGCGCCGCAGCGGCAGGCCCGGGAACGTCCCTCCACCTCCCGCTCCTTGCGAGCTGCAGCCCACGGCAGCGCCACGTCATTAAGACATAAAAGTCCGCCATTTCCTCCGCGTGTGGCAAGCACGCTGGCTGCTCGCGCGCTCCGTGCTTGTCATGGAGCCGTGAGTGTCACTGTGTGTCATGAAACCTAATTAGCCGCGTCCGCGCTCGCTCGGTGCCGAGTGCCGGGCCGGGCAGGCTGGAATCTCGTGACCGGGCATCTTTCGTGCGGCTCTTGCGCCCTCAGGGGCGGCCCATGGGACTGGACGGTGCCCCTGGCCTGAGGCGCTGGGGTGCGGGGGAGCCCCGGGCCGGCTGCCCGACGGGCGAAAGCCGGATGGGGTGTTTGCCAGAGTCCTGCTCCTTCGGGCAGCCTCACTGGCCGGCAGGTGCACTGAGCCGGCCTGCTGTCCTGCTCGCCCCGGCCACCCCCTCTGAAGTGGGGGCCGCTCCAACAGCCTCCCACGTGGCCGTGCACCCATAGGCGCGGTTCACGCCGCCCCGCTTCCTCGTGCCTGTGGACGCTGTTTTTGGTGACGCGAAGGGGGTGGCCGCCTGCTGGCGCCCTTCCCCGGCGGGGCGCGCTCCCCCGGCGCCCGTCACGCTGCACGACGGCTGGACGCGGACTTCCCGGCAGACGCTGGTGTCCACTTCCCAGGCCGCGCGCAGTACAGGCGTGGCTCCTGCAGGCACATCCCCCGCGTGCCACCCGGGGCCTGCGCAGAGCGAGCGCCCCTTCCCTGACCTGCGTCACGCAGGTCAGTCCCGCCTGAGCTAGTGGCGGGCAGGGCATGGCCTGTGCACTGGCCCCTCTCCTGTCCCCTGTCTCGTCCCCTCGGTCCGCGCTCCTGTGCCTTCGGGGGCACCTGTGTGTGACAGCAGGACCGTCACCTTAGAAATCCGGAGGCACCGCGTGTCCCCGGCCCCGGCATGTCTGAACCACTTCCCCCCCAGAAGATGGGGTACCCGCCTTGGCCCCAAGGATGCACGGGGACAGCAGAAGGGGGCAGGCGGCCTCAGCCTGTCCACGAGGGTGGGTGAGCAAGTGGGGGTCATCCAGCAGGGGCGGGGGCCTGGGCAGAGCCAAAGGTGCACCTTCCCTGGTGATAAGGGGCATCCATGCTGGCCCCCCCTGGCTGCCCTGCAGCCCCCACCAGGATCCTGGGCTATAGCAGCCCCCAGGAGGGGCCTCCAAGTCACCAGGCTAAAATCTCAACAGAAAAGGTGCCCTCACCCACAGCAGCATTTTAGGGTGAAGTGCTTCTCGGAAACCAGACCTTCAGAAGGACTTGGCTTTAGGATGTTGTCAGAACTGACTGCAACCACTTCCTTCCAGGCCAGGGTGGGAGCTTCCGAGGTGGCGGCCTGCCTGCCGGGAGCTGCACTCCTCACGCCTCCTCACGGAGCTTGATTAGACTGTGGGGTGCCCAGAGCAGTGGCCCCCCAGGAGTGAGGATCAGATACCTGAGCAGCCAGCCCCAGCAGGCGAGGTTCCAAGTGGCAGCCCCCTCCCCAGCCTCCAGCAGAGGGACCTTCTGGTCACCGGGACCTGACTCTCCAGTTCACAGACCCCAACTGCCCCTGTACCCCAGGACAAGGCCCTAGCTCCCCCCAGGGCTGTCAAGATGCTCAGAATGTCCCAGAAGCCCACCCAAACCCCTTCTATGGCTGGGGCTCCGCCCCTCCCCCACAAAGCCCCCACAGGCCCCCTCGGTGCGGCACGGATTTGTCAATCCTCATCCCCTTGTCCTCAGCGTCTGGCCAGGTCTCAGCAGGTGTCTGAGGCCATGGGAGGGTCTGTCCCACCCAGCCAGAGAGCAGCTCAGCGAGGACCCCTCTGAGGGCCTCAGGGGTGGTCACCCCGGTGCTGGCGGTGCATAGGGCCTCCTTGTGGGGTGCTGCTGGTGTTGCTGCAGCAGGGACGGAGTGCAGTGGTGACGGAGCAGGGGCCATGTCACCTGGGGCCCCAGGAGAATCAGGATGGAGGCGCGGGCGTTGGGGGGGCAGCTGCAGGCCAGGCGCAGACAGGCTGGAGGTATCCTGAGGACAAACCTGTACTGGAGGCTGGAAGGGGCAGCCTCCATCCAACGTGTCAGTCTGGGGGTGTCCCTGAGCCACTAACCCCGTGCCTGCTCTCCAGGCCCAGTGACGAGCACCATCCGGAAGTGAAGGCCGATGGGTACGTGGACAACCTCGCAGAGGCCGTGGATCTGCTGCTGCAGCATGTGGACAAATGATGGTGCACTGGGGAGCCCCCACCCCCGCCCCCCAGTTCCTTCCCTCGGCCCCTGCCCCAGTCAAGCGGGCAAGGCCAGCCAGCAGCCGTCCCCGTCTCCCTCTCTGACCCCACCTCTACCGTCACGTCCCCTCCTGAGCAGCCCGTGCCCTCTCTGCACGGCAGCGCGCCCAGCGCAGTCAGAAGAGGGGGACAGACCCCTGCTCCTCCAAAGGAGAGGGGCTAGAGGAGCTCTGGGTATGGACCCCAGCCCTTGCCTGCTGCCTCTTTGTCAACATTCTTTACATTTAGTGAGGAACTGGGAGCAGGTACCCCCTATACAGATCAGCCGCCTAGGCTGAGCCACCTCCCTGGTACTGCCCAGCATCCCTGGCCCTCACCTGGTGTCAGAGTTGCCAATTAGCACCCCCAGCCACGCCAGCCCACCATCCACTTGGCACCCCCACCCCAGCCACAGCAGGCCACTGCCTTCCTACCCCCTCAGTCACCTTCGGAGTCAAGAGCTGGGGCAGGGCCTCCCCTGTGGTGCAGTGGTTGAGTGCTGGGCTGCGAAGCTGCCTGCAGCCTCTGCAGCGCCGGTTCGATCCCCGGCTGCTCCCCGGCCACCGGGCGAGGGTCCCACATGGCGCGCAGACCTCTCCTGCCGCCCGCTGCTCCCCTCAGCAGTGTGCTTCGGTCCTTCTGCCTGCTCTGCTCCCCGCTCTGGCTCTGGTGAATTCTCTCACCCTCCCGCGCTTCTGACTGTACCCAGTGCTTGTATAAATAAATAAATAAATCTTAAAAAAAAAAAAAAAAAAAAAAAAAAGAGCTGGGGCAGCCCACTGTCCTGCAGAGCAAGACTGGCTGTGACATCAGTCCCAGAGGGACCCTCCTGCGGAGCCCCAGCTCTGTGGCTGTCCTGTCCGCGCGTGCAGTGGGACGAGCGGTTCAGTAAACTCCGTGCTGACTGGCAGTGGCTCAGACATTCACTTGGGGGGGCCACGGGTGGGGGTGAGGGGGCAGAGCTGGCCTTGAACCCTGGAGAGCCCAGAACCCGAGCACCGAGACACCTCGCCTGCCCCAAGCCCGTCCTTTAACAGATGGGGAGTCAGAGGTGCCCGGACAAGGCCTCAGCCTCCCTCCTGCGCAGCCCGGGGCGGGGTGGGGCTCCAGGCTCCAGGATCGGATCGTGGCCCAAGTTTCCGGTTTGAGGGTCAGTCCGCAGCACAGGAGCTTAGTCTCTGCCCCTGTCAATCCGAAGCTGCGAGAAAGTCTTGGGAGGCGGCTCAGGAAGGCGCCCTGGTCTCGTCTCAGAGGGTTTCCACTCAGCGGGGGCGGGGCTGCAGCATCCCAGTGTCGGGGTTTCCCAGGGCAGCCCCTTTCTCTCCTCACTGCTGCTGTCCAAGAGGGGGAGCAAGGAAGGGGGCGGACAGACAGCTCGGGAGCTCGGCAAAGTGGGTGGTTGTCTTTCTCCCCATTTCACAGATAAGGCAACCGAGATGCAGAGTAGCCAGGCCCAGGCCGGTGACTGCTCAGGGCAGCCCCAAGCGCAGTCAAGGTGTGATGCCGCCTCCTGAGCCCCTTCCAGCCCTTTCCACCTGTCTGCGGAGGGGGCTGGGGCTGGCCCCCAGGCTGCCCTTCTTCAGGGGGGCTGCCCCAGCCCTTGACTCCAAAGGTGACCGCGGGGATCGGGGAGGCAGCGGGCGGGCGTGGCAGTGACCTCCGGGGTTGCGGTCCCCACTCCACCTCAGGACCCCTGGTTGGAATGAGGAGCTGGGCCCCTGCACCAACAAACACGCACCCCACCCCTGAGCAAGGGCTCCCCATGCAGGCTCCCCACACGCGGCCTCCTGCACGCGAGCCTCCGGATCTCACAGAAACCACGCAGGCGGTGTTGAACCAGGAAGCTTTATTTACACAGTAAAAGTAACAAGCAAATTCCTGAGAGACCAGAGCGGCTCTAGTGCAAGACAGTCCCGGCCACGCGGCGGCTCCGCCCTGGGCAGGGCCTGGCCCACGGGCGGCCTGGACTCCGCAGCACTGGCCGTGTGCGTGCGGGCAGGCCCGCTGCGGCTCCAGAAGCCCCCCGCCGCCAGGCGCCGTCCCGAGCCCAGGACTGCTGCCCGCACACTGAAAACACACTTCCTTTGCCAAAGAGACTATGCTAGAAGGTCAGACTAGCTACCTAGGCTACAAGATCTCCACTGTGTCTGGGACTTTCAAAAAATCATGTTCTTGTCTCTTTAAGGAGACATGGTTTCTCTGGCGCCCATGGGAGGGTTTGGCCAACTGTGTGGACGTGGCAAGACGTGGCCTGTGTGGGGAGCAGCGCGCTGGGGCCCTGGCCCTGCTCTTGCCCCTGCTCCCGCCCGGAGCTGGCGTCACTCAGGTGACAGCCAAGGTCAGAGTGCACAACTTTAACCACCCTGCGGTGGCACGGAGGGCAGCCGCATCACCAAGCTGAGCCCGTAGCGGAGCATCTGTGTGTTTCTGGAAGCTTCTCAGATAGGCAGTGGTGCCCTGGATGTCCTTGGGCAGCAGAGCACAGGACACCACCCGCCACCCCTGTCCTGGAGACCCCTTTGGAAATTCGGGGTTGTTTTAACATGGACTTTTCCTTTAATTAAATTTTCTTTCTGTGTAAAAATTCACAAAACTTTCCTGCTACAAAAATTGTGTTGAAAAGTAAGGCTTTCTGAGAATGGAAATCTGTGTGATCAGAAGCAGCTCCCCTGTGGGCCTCGGTGGCACTGCCCGCGGGCCCTGGGCCAGGCCCGGCCCCGGCTCCAGTAAGGCAAGAGGGTGTGCGGGAATGTAAACGGTGAGGCCGGCCCGACCCAGCCGGCCGCGCGGGCGGACAACAGCCCCAGCCCAGGGGCCGGAGACGACGCTCCCTTCGCAGCGAGCGGGCGGCCGGGCCAGCCTCCTCCCCACGGGGCCTCCTGCCCAGGGCCCCTGCGCAGCAGCACAGCCCGCCCGCCCTCCTGGTGCTGAGCTTCCTCTCTCCCCGAGGGGGGCGCTGACGGGCATTGTCTGCGAGCGGCAGGGCCTCGACAAAAGTGAGGCTGCCGTCGGGGTCCCCACTACTGGTCAGGCGAGTCCAGCAGCCTGCCCACCTCCGCCTGGGGACAGCCACTTGGGTCAGAGGAGCCCAAGACCAGAAGTCCCGGTGCCAGAGGGTGGAGCGTGGGGCCTGTCTTTGGGCAGGAGGTGCTTTCTAGTCTCGCCAGCCACACAAGCACGAAACTACCGGAGGGCCGTTCGCTCTGAGCAGAAGGGACACGGGCCGTGGCCCCGCAGTCGGGGCCTGCAGTGAGGGAGCAGCCAGGCGGGCCTGAGCAGGTTAGAGGGCATGTCTGGCCCACCAGTTCGGCCCACAATGCCCTGGCGCTGGGGCTTTGGGCGGTGGGTAGGAGGGGACCCACTCGGCAGAGGCTTGTCCTTCCCACCACCAGGTCTGGGGGGCAGGGCCATGTGACACCACCCAAGGCCCCATGTCCCCTCCCGGCCCTGAACCAGGGCGTGGGGGCTGCTCCCCGTCCTGGCCCGACCCTCCCCGTGGCGTGGACTTGCGGTGAGGCGCTGCTCCCCTTCCACAGGAAGGACTGTTTAGAGGTGCCCCTCAGAGTGGGCCGGGTGCCAGGACCTCCCCGCCCCCGCCCCGGCCTGCGGGGACTCGCGTATGCCCTCGAATCCACACTCCTGGCAACACCTGAGGGGCCCTGCCTCCACAGGCTTTAAGATGTGCCTCCGCCCAGCCGGTGGGGTCAGGAGGGCTGCCCCCTCGGCCCAGGGCCCCGGTGCTCGAGTGGGAGTCACGGAGGTGCAGCCCAGCCCGACCTTCACCACCACCTCGGGGCCCCACCGGCCTCTGGTGGCTGATGTCCACGCAGCACCACGCGTCAGGCCTGAGCCCTAGGCCGTGATGGAGTCAGAGGTGGAAGCAGCTTCCCAAGTGGGGTCTTTAGGAGCAAGAAGGTGAGGCCCTCACTCACTCCTGCAGGGGAGCAGCGCTCGCTGGCAGCAGAGGGTGGGCCAAAGCAGAGGGCCCTGGCGGCGCCGTGGCGCAAGCCCAAGCCAGGAGGACGCGGGTCTTGCGGGAGACCGAGCCCCTTACCCATTAGTGACTCGACGGCTCTCGCCTGGGGCGGACGCCACGTTTGCTAAGAGCCAGATGCCAAGGGACATGCCTGCAAGCTGGGCTGGAGGGGGTGGCAGCAGCTCGGGGCCTCGGGGGTCTGCGGGGTGCGAGGAGCCGTGGGTACGAGGGTGGGCAGGCTGGGCCTGTGGCAGGGGTCACCCCAGTAAGAATGTGCTTGGGGTATGGTGCGGGCCGGGGCCCCAAGGAGCCCTGAAATGTGTACCGGCTCAGCGCTCCTACCTCCCGAGGGTGGCCTGGAAAGTGACATCTCTCCACTCACCTGGCTACACTGCCCACCCGCCCCACCCACGTGGCCCCCGAGCGCAGAGCCCGGCCAGGCTCTCCCTCCAGGGGAGAGGCAGGTGGGGTTGGCTTTTCGGTCAACAGAACCACCAAGTATCCTGCCAGCAGGGACGGCCTCCCACGAGGGCAGGCTGCTCCTGGGGTACACAGTTCAGACGTGGAGGCCGCCAGCACTCCAGGACTGTCCCTCACACTTGGAATTAAGGTCAAATGGTTCTGATGTTACTACAGAAGAAGCGTCTCCCGAACCTTCCCAAGCCTAAAGCAGGGAGACCTGGGAGAGAAGGCACGGAATAAAACTGAGTGAAAGAAGTTGGGGGGCCACCTCCCCAAAACTGAACCTGAGCAGGCCGAGAAGGGCCTTGACACCACCAGCCAGGCCTGAGCCCAGCCCCCAGCAGGCCTGCCAGGTTGGAGACCCCACGGGGGTCTGCCTGCCGGGGACACCGTGAAATGGCCCAGCGGGGGTGCGGGGTGCTGGTGGCTGCGGCCGCGTGAGGGAGGGAGAACAAGACCCAACCAAGAAGCAGAGCTCTGGGCACCGGCCGGTCCGCAGCTGCTGGGCTGGTGAGGGGCTGAGGTGGCCACTGCGGTGTGGTCGGGTCAGCTGCACTGCTGGCACCCCGAAACTGGGCAGCCTCCAGGGAGGAGGGGGGCTCGCTCCCTGAGACTCACTGCCTTCCAGGAAGCTTCTGTCGGGCCCCAGGAGTGGGGGACCCCCCTTCGTGTGCCCACTGAGTGCCAGAGGAGGCTCGTGTCGTGCACCCCCACCCCTACCCGGGGCCCCTCAGTTGTTCTCTATCTGCTCTATGTCCAGGTCGCCGTCCAGGGAGCAGGGGCTGTTCCCGGCGGCCCCACGGTCTCTCCAGGCCAGGGCGGGCTCACCCCTCCTGCCGCAGCCCTCGTCCAGGGCGCTGCCTTCCGACTCCTCCCAGGACAGCTCCTCCTTGCAGGCGAGGTGGTCGTCGAAGGACGGGGGCAGCGGCTCGGGGACGGGGGTCCCGGCAGGGGTCCTGCCGCCAGCGCTGGAGGCGGAGAGCAGGGCGGTCCAGGACTTGGTGCTGCTGACGTGGAAGGCGGAGGGGCTGTGGGGGCCGCGGTCCTCTATCCCCGAGCTCAGGCAGCTGAGGCTGCTGAAGGCCTGACAGTTCTGTGGGGAGACACACACACAGGTCAGCAGCAGGTGGCTCCCCGCCACCCACAACCGAAGAACTGCACCCACAAACCCTGGTCAGGCACCTGGGGCTCTCCGGGGATTGGTCCCCCAGGCAGAGGAGCAGCACCCAGTCCTGCACCCCCCCTGCCTGGGCACAGGGGTGGGCGCGGGCAGCAGGCTCGCAAGGACGCAGCCCCGCCAGCGAACAGCGTTTGTGCGGGACCTCCCGCCGGCCGGCCGGGCACAGGTCGCTGACGCCGAGTGAGAGGGCAGCTCAGACCCTCCCGAAAACCTTCCCAAGGGCCATTTGGCAAAACCTGTCCGGTTCCTTATGAGGCAATTTCACTTCTAGGGTCTTCCTCTGAAGAAAATAATTTGGGGTGCCAGCCCCAATCCGGAAGCTTCAACGTCCCTCATGTCCCTCCATGTAAGTGGACACAAGCGACCGGGGCCTGGGGTGTGGCGCAGGCGTATGCCCAGCACTGGCAAGTGCAGGGAGCTCGCCAGGCAAGGAGGTGGGAGGCAGCTGATGCAGAAAGGGGCTGATGCTGCCCAACCCCCACAAGGAAGGGGACATGGAGTGGCCCCTGGGGCACACCCAACCACCAGGGAGCGGGTGACCCTCGGCCCCTTCAGACTCCTGCATGGACAGCTTGAAAGAGGAGAGGCCGGGTCCACCAGCACGCCCAGGTCGGGGAGAGTCCCTGCCGTCCCGAGGGCCCTGGAGGGTGTGGCCTCAGCATGCTCCTCGCAGCAGGGCCTCTGTGGGGCGGGTGAGAAAGAGCTGGGGGTCTGCTCAAGCAATGGGTGCAGCCTGGATAGAGCTGCTGGGAAAGAGCACTGGGACTGCACTGCGGACAGCAGGGCTGGCCTGACCAGAGCGGGCCTTGCCTGACTGGGGACCTCTGGGCCCCTCCTGGGGCTCAGCGATGCCCCAGTCTGCCCAGCACATTCGCTCCCTCCTCCACAGCATGAGGCGGCGGCTTATCGTGCCCAGCGGCCCCCATCCTCCATGTGCCCAGCAGGATCAGAGACGCCCAAGGCCGAGGCACCACCTGCCCTTTTCACTAGCCTGGAGCTCAGCCAGGACAGGAGAGGACTGGGTGCAGGGGGTGCAGGAAAGAGGGAAGATGGCCAGCCCGGTGGCGCTTGCCCGCCCACCCCTGCTGTTGCGGTCCTCTGGAAGTGGCACGTGAGAAAGCCTGTGGGCAGAAGCCTGAGGTGCAGGGTGGGTGGGTGATGCGGCCAGGCCGGGCACCCCGCGTGCAGAGCGCCGAGTGAGGTCAGCCTGCCTGGCTGGCGCACTAGACTCCCGGGGTACAGGTGGGATAGGGACACTCTCGTGTTGACTTTACGGCACCAGTCACTGGACAGGAGCTGGGACTCCGCGTGCTGGGCCAGACAGGCTGTCAGGATCTGGGCCCTGTAGGGTCGAGACTCCAGCCTCTGGGCCGTGGCCCACCTGCTGAGGGGGGCACCGGAGGCCGTGCGGCGGGCTGCCTGCAGCAACTGGGTCCTTTCTGCTTGCAGCAGGGCGAGAGCCGGAGGCTTGGCTGGTGAATGTTGTCACCAGCCAACCCCAGGATACCACTGAACCCCACCCCCAACTGTCCCCAGAGGCACCTGCTCCTTGGCTGCAAAGTCAGTGTCACCTTGAAAACTGTTGACTCAAAACAGCCGTTTCAGCCGCAGCGGAGGCAAGCCGGCTCGCTGGTGGGGGTGGGGGTGCAGCCTCACCCCAGGGCGGTGAGCATCCTGCCCAGACCCTGTCCTGGGCCCATCCACTGTGCAGCACCTGGGCACAGCCCGCACCCAGGCCCTGTGCCCCCTCAGCTCCCACAGAAGGTGCTGTAGGGGCCTGTTGGAGGCCCAGGCCTGAGCTGCACAGCAGTGAACAAGTTCAAAGGGCACCGCACACCCCATGCCAGCTAGAGATGGCTCCGGGACACGCAGTGGCCCTGCCCTGGTCTCTCAGGGCCTGCCCAGGGAATGGAGCTCTGCAGTTGGGGTACAGGTCAGCACCCCAATCCTGCAGTCTGGGGCAACTAGGAATGGGGTCCCTGGAAGTGTTGTCATTTGCAGCAGACCTGCCGGACCTCAGTCCGCCCACCCTGCCTCCACGGGCCAACAGCCTCCCTTCCAAATGGCCCTCCTGTGCAGTTATTGGCTCCCACACTCACAAGGGGGGAGGCCCCTATACGGGCCCTGGGATCCTAGCCTTCCAGGGCTCACCCCTGGAAACACCATTCTTGCAGATGCCTTCAAGTCACCCTGAGGGAGGCCCCGTGTGGTAATAGCATTCCAAGAGCAGGCCTGATCCCCCCTGCACCCAGGCCCCTGCACCCAGGCTGTGAAGAGTCTGAGGGGGCCCAGCCCTTGCCAGCTGAGGGCAGCTCTACCTCAAGCTGCAAGCTGCCCCCCATAAGTGCTCTGGTCCCCAGACAGCCTGGGGGAACACCACAGAGGGGTTCCAGGAAAGTCCATTGGCTGGGCTGCCCTATCTGAGCCTCAGCCACTAAGTCCTGGGAGGGGCCAGCAGGCTGCTGGGGTGCTGTGTGCAGGTGCTGTGTGCAGTGGTGTCCCCTTTCTCCCGACCCCCCTACTCTAAGACAGGCCGTGCCCAGCCCTGGAGGGTGACAGGAGCATGAGCAGGCCTCGTGTGCGGGGCCCGGAGGAGGAGAGGGACGGAGATGGCAGCATCTCGGGCACCGGCGAGCCCAGCTCCTCCACAGGAAGGGTCTGGGAGGGACAGTGTCGCTGGTCTGGCTGCTTCTTGGAACCGTGGCAAGGGTCACGGGAGAAAGCGGAGGCAAAGCGGGGCTCACTTCCTGCACTGACAGCGCCCCCCGTCCTCTGGGGACTGTGCTGCCGGGAAGCCCGGAGGTGAGCCTGGGGGGAGGCGCCTCCAGCTCCCGGGGGCTCTGGCAGGGGCTGCTGCCCTCACGGCCTCCGCTTTCTCCCAAGAGCACCCGGGGCCAAGGCCCTGCTTCTCATGATCCACGGACGACGGGCAGGAAGCACTCTGCCACCGGAGTGAGCCCGGTCCAGGGCTAAGGTCCGCCGCGTCTGCTGGGGCCACCTCTCCCTGGCCAGCCGGTGCCCACGTGAGACTCCTCTTGGCCCCAGGCTGTGCCCGGCTGGATCCACACCCCTCCTTCTCGCTCCTCGAGGACATGCCTGCCTTCCCCTTCTTGAGAGTACTTCCCTTTCAACACAATTTTACAGCTCTCTCAGTGTTGGGGTTTTTAGGGAGTTTCTTCAGCTCCCCCTAGAAAGAGGCCACGGGTCAGGATAGCAGAACAGGCCCTGCCCGGCCGGGTCTCCGGGAGCCTGGCAGCGGCTCTGCTGGGGAGTGCGGGCCCAGAGCTCTGGCTGGGAGGCACTTCCTCCAACAGACGTCCTCATAAGAACAGCTTTTTCCAAGTATCACGAAAACACCAAGCCAGAGAAGGGCTAGGGGCCTGGAATGTTCTAAGTCTCAGTTATGCTGGCTGCTGGCTTGGAGACAACACGGCGAGGCATGGGGCTTCCTGGGGTGCTTTTTGTAATTATCTCAGGAAAGAGCAAAAGGCACCCGCATGTTCTGGCCTATCTTCAGCCCATCTTTGGTGAATCTGATGTGCATGAAGGCCAGAGGCACTCTCAGGAAACCCTGCGGGGTCAGGCTGCTCCCCCAGCCTGCCCCAGGTCAGAGCAAGGCCCATATGCTGTCACGCAGGGCTGGAGATGGCCGCACGCACGGGTCAGGCTGGCAAAGGTAGGCTGGCAACTGGCCCAGGACGGTCTCAAGGCTAACTGTTTCTGCAAAATGCTCACTTCCAGACCCACGCCAGGCCGTCCTCTGTGCCTGCCCCACTTCCCTGCCCTCAGGAATACGGGAACTGCTAATCCCACAACCCAGACAGGCAAGCCAGGTTGCTGCACCTGAAAATAAGAAATAAAATTTCCTGGGGGAGCATCCGGGGCCCAGGGGCCTCCCAGGCTCTGCCCAGGTCACAGGTTTGAGACTCAAACAGCCCAGGGGGAGGAGGTAGTTGGGGTGAAGGCTGGCCCTGGGCAGCGTAGGGAAAATGGAGTTGAATCAGCTCCTTTTTGCCTTCCCACCTCCAGTCTCTACGGCCACCACCTGCGGCCTTGTTTTCCGCCCAGGCTTCATTGCCCACATGTGATATTATGTTGGTGCAAAAAGCCTCGGGAGTGTGAGCACGGGGCACATGCACTTGTGATCACAGACACCAGGGCCAAGAGGCCAGCGAGCACGGGACGCGCATGCCTATACGTATGGACGCCTGGACGCGAGATCATTACGAGGGGGAGATGGAGCGAGAAAGCCAGAGAGAGCGCAAGGGGGTGGGGGGGACTCGGGGCACATGGAGATGGGGGTGGGGGGGCTAAGTGGCTGCCTGCGGGCCTGCCTCTGAGCCCAGGCCCCTGACTCACCATTAAGGGCACGTTAGAGATACCAAAGGCTCTAAAATTCTCTTCGCCTGCCTGAGCCCACAATGAACCTGCCGGGGTGGTTGCACGACAGCAGTTAGGGGGAACATCACCTCCTCGGCTCACCTCTGGGAGCCCCTGACATCTGCTGGGTGCCTGCCGCGTGCCTGACGGCAGCCCTCCCCTCCCAGGCCGGTCTACTCGGGCGCAGACCCCAAGGGACCGTCAGCTCAGGCCGCCGGGGCCCTGTGCTCACGGGGCAGGATGGTCTTCACTTTGTGCCTAGGCACCTTGGCACCTAGGCGCTCTGCCCCTTCCCGCCTAGGCCGTTCCTGTGCGATCCACGCAGCATAGTTCTGCCTCTGCTACCCAGGGGCCAGGGGCCCAGTGGTGGGTGGGGAAATCCTTCCTAGGGCGGCCACCCCCAAGCACAGGGGCCCAGCAAGCCACCCCCAAGCATCAGGGCAGGCCTCCCGCACCAGCCACCCAGTGGCCAGCCCTCTGTCAAGGCCCACCTCTGTTGGGTCTGCTGTGTGTACCCTGCACCCACTCTCGGG